TAAGAAAACCAAAGCATAACAAAGAACTTTTGGGAAACTACCTGATAAGTCCATTTTCTTTGATGCTATTGTTGTTTGCTGATGTGGAGTAGAGTACAACTCATAGCACCCCTGTGAACAAAAGATCTGAACCCTGTTCTGTCCTGAGCCTTCCTGACACACAAGAGCCTATTTGCAGCAGTCACCGTGTCAGTCCACCTGGTTGAGGACCTTCCTCTCCTTCGCTGACCCTCCACACTTCCCAGCATCCTGTCCCTCTCCAAAGAAAAACCCCTCCTAGCAACATGCCCTAAGTATGTGAGGTGAAGCCTCATCATTCCTGCCTCCAAAGAACTACACCCTCTTCAAGACATACTTATTAGTTCTTTTGACCGTTCATGGGATGTTCAGTGCTCTTCTCCAGCACCATAGCCCAAAGATGTTAATTCTGTCACTCATTGCCCAGCTTTCAGATGCATACATAGCAAGTGATTGGAAATACTATGGCCTGAATCAAACTCACCTTAGTCCTCAAAGTGATTACTCCTCAACAATTTGGAGAGGTCTTATCCTCCTGACTGCTAGTACCACTCGTGATGGTATTAAGGTGGCACAAATGGTTTGCCATGAACTGCTAACCAGAGAGCTAGTGGTTCAAACAGAGGAAAAGCCTGGTGCTTGCTTCTGTGATTCACACTCCCAGTAGTCCTGTAGGACAGCAGAGGACTGCCTCATCAGGTTTCAAGGCTGTAAGTCTTTACAGAAATAGACTGCCACCTCCTTCTCCCTAGGAGCCATTAGTAGATTCTAACCACGAGCCTTCTAGTTTTAAAAGTTTAGTGCTTACCCACTGTTCCACCCTGTGTGTTGGTAAAGAGCATAAGAAAACCCTTGGGAGCTCAGTTCTTCTCTGTTACACGTGGGGTCACCATCAGATAACATCAACTCACAAACAGGCTTTGATTATTTTATTTATATTTTCATACACACACACACACACACACACACAGAGAGAGAAGAATCTCCATAGTGATAGGTAGAATAGATACGGGAAGGAAAAACCAGACTTTAAAAAAAATGACATATTTGTTGTTAAGTACTGTTGAGTTGGAACGATGCCTAGCCAACACCCAGCAGGTTTCAGGGGCTGTAAATTGCATAGGACATTGCGTTTCCTTCTCTTGTGAAGCAGCTGATAAATTTGAACTTGGTGCCTTTGAAATGGGAGCACAATTCCTTCCCAGTGCTCAGAATTGGAAATCCAGAGGATATTTTTGGTATCAGATAAGCCACACCAGGAAAGAACTGAGGCATGAAAATGTATAGAGATAGTTAAAAGGAGGTAAATACAGGCTTCAGTGAAGTCTGATTTCATTTACTCTACCTTAGAAGAAGAGAAGAGGGACTAGACCAAACATCATACTAGCTAAGAATTTTCCAGGATCACCCTGGCACCATCTACAGGTTGTGGGAACCCAGAGTCCAAGGGTTGATGGAAAAGAAATCTGTATGAATGAAATAAGGTTAAAAATAAAGATCTGTTAAATTTGTCCTTTTGTGGTGACTTAGAGTTATTGTTGGACTAGAAGGTATTTCCAAGACCGTAGGGTCACCTACAGTGGAGACGTTTCAGTGGAGAATACAGTATAGGATGAAGGGGTTGATGATTTACTTCCGTAACTGTCCTTGTGAATGACCACAGGATGCTTTACAGTGGTGGAAGATGAGGGGCAAGAAAGTCACAAAAATGCACAGTGGATGCAGCAGTAAGACACTAGAAATTACTAATATTTAGTATTAAATGTACTCAACCATGCATGAAAAATTAAAGGTCATTTGAAGTCATAGTAATTTAAGCAGTGTGATACTGTCATGCAGATAGACCAAGAAAATAGTAGGCGTAGAACAATGTACACATGGGTGTGTTTAAGTAGTTACTTCTTTAAGTGTTAACTTCTCTCATAGCAGTAGGTACAGGCAGGATTGCTTAGTAAGGGAACTGGGACATCTCCTTCCCGTGAGTTATAGGGGTAGCCAGTGAATTCAAGGTCTAAATGTGGGAAATTGCAAACTGGAAGCTTTTAAAAGCAAAACATTTAAAAGATATGAAACAGGATCCACATCTCACACCATACACAAATATCAACTCAAAATGGATGAGATACCTAGGAGTAAAGCCCAAAACGATAACGTTCATAAGAGACAAACTGGAATTAAGCTTAGAAGCGCCAGTCCAAGGTTTAAAGAGACTGCCAAATACAACCAGAAATGCACAATCTGAAGAGGATAAAATGGGACCTTCTAAAGATTAAATCCATGTGTGCATCAAAAACGTTTCTCTAACAGGATGAAAAGAAAACCTACAGACTGGGAAAAAACATTTGGTAATACCATCTCAGACAAGAGTCTTATAACAAAAGCTTACAGTATACTCCTGGGCCTCCAAAATAAAAAGACTGATAACCCAATTACAAAGTGGGCAAAAGACATGGAAAGGATTTTCACAGAGGAAGATAATCGAATGGCAAACAGACACATGAAGAAACACTTCAAATCACTACCAATAAGAGAGATGCAAATAAAAAACTACACTGAGGTATCGTCTCGCTCCTGTAGCAGTGGCAAAGTTTACCAGGGCAACAAGTAATAAATGTTGGGGAGGATGTGGTGAGACAGGAACTCTTATACATTGTTTGTGGGATTGTAAAATGGTACAACCACTCTGGAAGGCAGTTTGGTGCTTTCTCAAAAAGCTGAACATAGAAATTCCATATGACCCAGCTATTCCACTAGTTGAAATACACCCTGAGGAAATGAGAACTGAGGCACAAATTGAGATTTGTACACCAGTGTTCATAGCAGCATTATTCACCATCTCAAGAACATGAAAACAGCACAGATGTCCAATCACAAATGAATGAATTGAGATTATGGTACATTCACACAATAGAATACTCTGCAGCACACAGGAGCAATGATTTTGTAAATTATTACCTAGCTTGGAAGGGACTGGAAAGCATTATGCTGAGTGAACTAACTCAGTCCTACAAGGATAAATATTGTATAAGACCATTATTGTAGAATGAATATCAGGATCCAAGAGGGGTGGGAGAGGTTGGAAGCAGAAGGATGAGAATGTGCAAAGGACGAGGGGGATTAATCATGGGGTTGTATAATTTGATGGGTGGAGGGGTGAGGGAAATTGAAAGAATTTGTTCTTGAAAACAATATATTCAAATTTTGTAAACTAGTAGAAAATTAAGGAAAAAATAGATAATTACAAATGCTTCAAGAGGCACAGTAGGCCACTTTAGACATCTCTGAATAACAAAAGTTCACAGAATTATAAAGAAATCACACACCGAGAGAATATACTGATAATGTCTTACAAAGCCTTAGTACATATATTAAATAGTTTAATGGTAATTGAGTAAAATGACAGGCAATTAATAAAAGAGACCTTACTGGCCTGTGACTTGACCTGAGAGAATTAGAAAATTAAGAGTGACAAATTTGATAATTTCTTTATGAAAATGAGCATCTCATGATATTAGCCATCTCACTGCCTTTGGAGCAACTACAACTCATAGTGATCCTGTGCACAACAGATCTGAACCCTGCCCTATCCTGAGCCAACCTCACTGTGTCTGATCACCTGACCCTATTGCCACAGTCACTGTATCAGTCCATCTCATCCAGGGTCTTCCTTTCCTGTGCTGACCTTCCACTCTTTCAAGCATGATGCCCTTCTCCAAGGACTGGCCTCTTCTGGCAATACGCCCAAAATAGTGAAATGGAGCTTCAGAATCCTTTCCTCTAAGAAACAATCTGGTTTCACCTTCTCCAGGACAGAATTGTTTGTTCCCTTGGCAGTTGTTCAGTACTCTTCTCCAGCACCACAACTCAAAGATGTCAATTCTTTTGCCATCTTTAGTCCAGCTTTCTGATACATAGCATGTAATTTCAAAGACCATGGCCTGGATCAGGCTCACCTTAGTCTCCAGACTGACATTGTTGCTCTTCAGCACTCTGGAAAAGTCCCTGACAGCTGACTTTCCCAGTGCATCTCATCTCTTGATTTCCTTACTGCAGGTGCCAAGATTGTTAATTGTGGATTCAAGCAAGGTGAAACTATTAGCATATCTCAATCTCTTCTCCCATCTTTCACGATACTACAAGTTGGCCTGTTAGACCAGCTTCCCAACTTATTTTTCTGCATATAGATTGAAAATGTATGGAGAAAGAACACATCCCTGACACACTCTTTTCTTGATTTTGAACCATTAAAAGTAGCAATATAGAGAAGAAAAGGTAAACCAGCAGGTATCTCTGGACTTGCACATGTTTTAGGGCTCCTGTTGGAGAGCTGTTCAGGAGGTCTTGTGGGATTTGGAATGTGCTTTGTTTACTTAGTTGTTATATAAGTTAGGATTATATAACACTACTTCATATACTGCTCTTTCTTATTTATTGCCATTTTACATATTGCTCTAACCATCCTCTCTATTTATACTGAGGCACTATAGTGTCCATTCTTTGCTCTGTTTGGGTCCAAAATAACCTTTGGGCCAGTGGCTGGCAGTTGGCATGTGAAGGAGAAATTTATTGGGATTATAAGAATAGGGTCTAGGTTCTCTTTTCATAAATAAAAATTAAAATACACTTATATTTTCTTATGGTAAACTATGTACTGTAAAATGCAGAGATTTAAATGTACAAGTTGGTGAGTGAGCACCTCCCAATGTTTTCTCTCACCCACTGACAGAAATGTTCTAGAGTACACAAATACTATGTTTCCGTTCTAATACATAGAAACTCTACTTCCTTTTTGTGGTTGCTGCCTACATTAACATTTTTTGTGTGTCTCTTCACACTTATACACTGTTTGTCAGTGGTCTTTCTGAATTCTCCATTGGTGAGGGAGGCCCATATCTAATTTCTGTCTTTCCGCCTCATCAGCATCCCTCCTTTCTCCTGGAACTGTGCCCACACCCTCCCAGGAATAAATATCTCTTTTGCAGATCTGGGACACAGCAGGACAGGAACGGTTCCAGTCTCTCGGTGTGGCCTTCTACAGAGGTGCAGACTGCTGCGTCCTGGTGTTTGATGTGACTGCCCCCAACACATTCAAAACCCTTGATAGCTGGAGAGATGAATTTCTCATCCAGGCTAGTCCCCGGGATCCTGAAAACTTCCCTTTTGTTGTGCTGGGAAATAAGATTGACCTCGAAAACAGACAAGTAAGTGCTAAAGATGGTGGAAATCATCACAAACAACATAAAAGCTTAGGAACCTTCACTTAGGAAGGCCAAATTACTGACTCAAAGACAACCTTCTTTTAGAGGACGCTAAGTTAGGGATTTTAGCTTTGGCTGATAAAAAGCCACCTATCTCAAGGGGCCAGTACCCAGTAAGAACTATGTATGTGTACCCCTTGTGGTAGGAGCAATAGTTCTTGCACCTCCCAAAAGTTGGTTTAGGAGGACCACCAACTAGTCAGCTGCACAGTCCTAGCCCTAGCTCTCTTATTCCTTACCTACCTATTACAGATGTATTCCACCCTGACTTCCCCTTGTTCAAAACAGGGGTGGTGAAAGCCCCTTTGAAAACTTGCTAACCAAGAACTCGGTGCAGTGTGTGGGGTTCCGTGCGCTCACTGTCCCTCTCTATCTGACTTAATGTGGTGCTTTGCAGTTGGCCCTCTAAATTTAAAGGCAGACTTGAGTGTGAATCCTGGCTCGTGCCTGTGAATTCTCTTGGCATCTGAGCCTTTACTCATTTTGTTTTCTGGGGTTTTTTTTTTTGTTTGCTTGTTTTGGGAGGGGTTTGGTTTTTGGTTTGTTTTTGTTTTTGTTTTTTAGGTTTTTTTTCTCTGAGCCTTTACTTGTATAGTGAGTGTTTGGATCAGATAGCAGTATGCCCAGAAGCCCCAGCACAGTTAGGGATTGGGAAATGGAGGCTTTCTAAGCAACTCATTGTTGTTGTCTTCTTTGCTGAGAGACCAGGTTATGAGGTGCTGCCGTGAATTTGGAGGACTCATGCTAGGACTCTGGAAGGTGCTGTCAGTTACTCTAGGTTTAACTCAACCTGGCTGCCTTGAGGATCCAGGCCTGTGAAACCTGGTATCAGTCCCTGTGCTGTGCTAGCAGGCTCTCACTTGGAGCTGTTGCCTCTCTTAGCCCCATTTCAGTTTCTGCACTTAGATTTGAGATTTTAGAAATAACAAGAGCACTTTTCAAGTGCTCTTCCAGCTCCAAATGTCTAATATCTCCTTGTGGAGTTTACATTAACATTACCCAAAGAATTTGGTGTTTGTCCTGAATTTCTGAGAGATTCTCTCTTTTAAAAAAAAGCAAACAAAGCAGTAAAAACAAACTTGGTGTTTAAGCCCCTTGGGTAAGGACTCTAGGTCCACATTCTTTGAGCTCCTTGCCTAAAGAATAGAAGTTTGAGCCCACTGGCTGCTTTCTGAGAGAAGGAAAGGCAGTCTCCTTTATTAAAGAGTACAGCCTCAGAAACTGGTGAAGCGTCGCTGTGAGACATGGCTGACATGCAGTGGATTTGATTTTCTTAAACGTTGAAATAATGGTCTATCTTAAGGAAGAAATCCTAGAATTTGCATTACATGACAAGGTACCCTCAGTACCACCCCCCCCTATAAAAGCTCTTAATCTTCTGGTTGGTGGAAACATTGATGCAAAGGGGGAGATTACATGTCTTTCCTTTGAGGATGTGGAAGCTCTTGTCCTGTTTATCTTATGTCTGTTTATTTATATTTTTTAATTTTTATTTTACTATAATAAAGCTATAATCCTAAGTATAGCACTTTTCCTTGAGTTCTGTGAGCTATTCAAATCCAAAGGAGTTAGTAGGAGGTAGGTCAGAAATGAGGCCCTATGGGAGTCTGGGGAAGCCTTGCATTTATAGCTAACAAGACACAAGTGAGGTATTGTGTGGACTCCCAGACTTGTAGTTGGTACCTGCCTGTTTGGCAGCCTGAAGGATAGAATCCTTTATCTAGTGCTATCTGGTCGAGCTCTGAAAGACTAGGATCAGAGAAGTGGTACATGAACAGCTGGCATCAGAACTGAGTAGAGAAGTGGATAGTGGAGATTTGATGTGATACTTTGGCTAGTACCTTCCTTCATGGACCTGCTTGAGTCCGTGTGTATACAGAGCATTATTTTAGACTTTCAAGGGGCATTTCCATTGGAAACACAAGACATTTCAATAACTATAACCAACTATGTTTCTGATCCTTGATCTCTCTTCTCCCCTCCCTCCCTCAGTGACATTGCCAAAAATGGACTAAGTGTAGGAAGCAAGAATTTAAATGTGAAGGGCTAATGAGAGCAACAAAACTCTGATCCAGATGACACAGCAACACTGACATCCCTGTGCTGCCTGTGTTTTCTAAGCCAGAGTCCCTGAGGTTCCCTCACGTCTCTCCTGAGCTGCCACCTTGTTTCCCTCACAAGTTGCTCCTAAGGATGTCCAAGATTCAGCAGCCATGGGTTCCATGCAGATTGTAGGTTTTGCTTTGAACCCTGGTTCTCCTCCCTAATAGTTTGCAGGGTGGCTGAACAGTGCTGTAGGTTTTTCTTTGACCCTCTACTCACACACCATCCTCATGTCTGCTCCTTTACACCTACAGTACAGTGTGGGGATGCTGGTTTTTCCTGTGAATGGGTGAACCAATACTAGCTGCTTCTGTGATGAACCCATGTGAGTCTTACTTCCTCTTCCAGGTGGCTACAAAGCGGGCACAGGCCTGGTGCTACAGCAAAAATAATATTCCTTACTTTGAGACCAGTGCCAAGGAAGCCATCAACGTGGAGCAGGCGTTCCAGACAATTGCACGGAATGCACTTAAACAGGTGGGTCCTCTGCCACCCCTAATCATCATTTGACCATTAGTCAAGCCTCGGTTTCCTAATCCTTCCTAGCTATTCATACCCATGGCCAGGTCATTTATATACCCGTCATTTGGCAGTACCACTTATGGCCGTTGTTGTAAGAGAGTAACCACTTACTTGCCTGACTGCTGGTCCATCCCAGCTCTCCATGGGCTCAGACATTGAATCTCTGTGCTGTAGACGGCCTGTTAGCCGGAATTTCCTGATCATTTCAAAATAGCTCTTTGTAAATTGGCGTTAACTTTACCTGCACTGCTAGTGACCTTCTGGCTTTGTTTTCCTTTTATATCATCTGCCATTTTCTTTCTGATAAAAGCAAATTTTCATCCTCTATGGTTGTTTGGGGTTTTTTAAATTTCTATGTTTCCTATCTAAATTGTATCATGTCTCTAATTTAGCTGGAATATATTTGAATTAATGACAGAAGAGACCTAATTTTATAACGTTTGTGAAATAGCCAATTGTTGCAAATACTAGCAACTAGTTGCTAAATATTCTCCCCCCACTCCCCTTATCTCAATTGTATTAAATGTTTCTAGTTTAGAATCTTTTTCTGGTTTCACCATTTCTTCAGTGGTTTATTTGTTCCTGTGCTGCCTACCACCCTGGCGTGACTTTCCTATTAAATGTATTCCTTAGTACTGGTGATGCAGCCACTTTGGAAAGTTGTTCGGCAGTTCCTGAGAAGTTTAAACATAGTTGCTATCTTAATTATCATGTAGTGTTGTTAAAACAGAAATGCCAGAAAGTGTGACTTTAACAAACAAGTTTATTTTCTCACTGTCTAAGAAGAGTCCTCTAAATTCAGAGCACTCATCCTGGGGGAAGTCTTTCTCCTAGTTCTTTTGCGTTTTGTTCCATGGTTTCTTGCAAGGTGACATCATTCCCTGACCTATACCACCCCAATCTCTGCTTCATTCTGTGCCTGGTCAGCTTGGCTTGTAGTTCAGAGGTTATTCATTTAGGATGGACCCCACAAGGTATGGCCTTATTAACATAATAAACCCCATTCCCAAATGAGATTGCCTACTAAAGTATTCCAAACTGAGTCTGTTCCAATTTATAGCATCCCTGTAAAACAGAGTAAAACTGCCCCCTGGGGTTTCCAAGGCATCTGTATCTTTACATCCTTGTCCAGTAGAGCACCAAGTGGGTTTACTGACCTTGACCTTCCCATTAATAGCCAAACATGGAACCATTGTGATCCAAGGGCTTCCTTCCACGGTTGTAAGGTTTAGGAATTATACCACGCATTTTGGGTAGAGGGGGATGCAATTTAGTCTGTATTAATTACCATATTGTTCAGCAGTTCTATGCTTAGGTTTTTTAAATATGCCTCTGGAGTGGCTTCAAATAGCAAGCCTTTTGGTTGAAAGCCAAGTACTTAATTATCTATACCACCTAGAGAATTCAAATTACAAAATAATCCCTTCAGAATGACCCATCTACTCAGACATATCTCCCCAGCTGAATGATGAGAACATCATCCACATAGCTTACATGGCACACCATGCAACATTTGAGATATAAACCTTTGGAAGAAAAGAAAGTATTAGCAACTAAAGGGCCGTACAGAAAGCCTCTTTGAGCTGGATGTAGTCCTAACTAGATCCCTGGATTAGGATCTGATGGTCAACTTTGGGCCTTGATTCCCTGTGTCTGAAGATTGCTGCTCTCCCTGGCAGAAATGTCTCTGTTCACGTTGACCTGGAGTCTTTCAAGAGTTAAACATCTCCTGCCAGGTCCCGTTCTCTCTCAGCTTCTTACCCATGTATAAGTGTGCCCTTATGGGGAGGAGAGGGCGAGAGGTGAGAGCTGGCATTCCCCTGTGCCTTAAAGCGCTAAGTAACGAGCTTTTCTTTCTTGCCCTGCCCAGGAGACGGAGGTGGAGCTGTACAATGAATTCCCGGAACCCATCAAACTGGACAAGAATGACCGGGCCAAGGCCTCAGCGGAAAGCTGCAGTTGCTGAAGGGGCAGTGAGGGTAGAGCACAGAGTCCTTCACAAACCAAGAACACACTTAGGCCTTCAAACACAAGCCCCTCCTTGCCTCTTTCAAACAACACATAAATTGATCTCTCATTTCCAGCTGCCAAAAGAACCCCCACCGGACACTCACCCCCATCCACCACACACACAGACCTGACAGAGCAGACAAACTCAAGCCCATGCCAGTGACACAGCTTCCTGGGGTCTGCCCACCACACGGAGCCCTTGTCTGGGCATCAGGACAGGCCAGCATCCTCCTGGCTTGGAGTCGGCGTTAGAAGATTGTTCTTTTTCACTGGAGAGAGAGAACTGTTTACAGTTAATCTGTGTCTAATTAGTTACCTGATTTTTTTTAATGGTCTTGTGGTCTTTTTACCCCACCTCACCCTCCTCCTTATGAAGGCTACACCTTGGGAAGGCTTAGTGCCCACGGTTCATTACAGGCTCACACCCAGTCTGATAGGCTGAGTTTTGTATGTATCTGTTAATGCTTGTTACTTTTAACTAATCAGATCTTTTTACAGTATCCATTTATTATGTAATGCTTCTTAGAAAAGAATCTTATAGTACATGTTAATATATGCAACCAATTAAAAATGTATAAATTAGTGTAAGAAATTCTTGGATTATGTGTTTAAGTCCTGTATAGCAGGTGTGTAAGACAGCGGGGTGAAGCCCTATCTGGATTGCAGAGTGTTAGCAGCTCAGAATTCGAAAATCCAGCTAGAGGCAGTATTCTGTACAGTAGACACAAGAATTATGTACGCCTTTTATCAAAGACTTAAGAGCCAAAAAGCTTTTCATCTCTCTAGGGGGAAACTGTCCAGTTCCCATCTGTGTCTAAATTTTCCAAAAGGTTGATTTGCTTAATACAGTGGTGTGTGCAATGGATAAAATGGCTGTTATTTCAAATATTAAAATTCTCATTTCCCCTTTTTTCTCCTGCTCCATGCTTCAAACCTCCTGTTAGATCAGCATCTTACTATAAGAGGGAAAGGAAAATCCAAACAGATCTGTCCTAGTGATTTACCTTTGTTCTAGAAGGCACTCCTCTCGGGATTGTGGTATTCTTAGGTTAGCAGACGTTTCTCTCCATCTCCCCTCCCGACTCTCCAGTTGCCCATTATTAATTAACCTGTTTCTTTGGTATGAACCCTTGCAGTTCTGCTCCCTCCCTAGGATCTGCCCTGCATTATAGCTTGCTTAACGGAGCACTGTCCCTTTTTTCCAGAGGTCTACATCAAGGGTGTGGGCCAAGTTCTTCTGTAAAGAGATGAACGTGATGCCAATAAAATTTAACAAGAACAAAGATCTTCGTCCTCTGCCCTGTCTTTTTTCCTCCTCTCCGACCCTTGGCTCAACAAAGACCACAGCAACTATTTCCAGCCGTTATTTTTTCCATTAAGAGCCCTTGAGGGCACTTGAGGCAGAAAGACCTTTCCAGCTTTGCAATACGTATCCTGAACTTTATTGTGTTGTTTTGTTTTTAAATCTATACTGGTAGCAAGGGGAGAGGCCCTCAATAAAGAATACATTGTCACTTTAGAGGAGCAGCCACCATGATGCTCTGTGGGCCACGCACACCCTGTTGGTTCAACTTAGCTTTTGTGTGCAGTTGTGTTTTGATTGACTTAGTTGATAATACCATGAAATGTTGAGTTTCTCATTTTTTAGAAAAGGATGATTTGGCTTCAGGGGACTTGTGTTCCAGCATATATAAGCCACTGGCTAGAACTGATACAGATTTTTCAAACGTGTTCCCTTGGCATGGATCTTGAATCCTATTGCTTCCACTTCTGAGGCTCCTCAGTTGGTTTTGTTCCTTATAGCTGCTCTTGGCATGTCTTTCCTTTTTTAGAGACCATATTCTCAGGAACTCAGTGCAGCACAGTTAGAGACTACCCAACCACCAGAGCTAGTAGTCCGTGGTTTAAATCTTAACAGTCTCTCCTCTAGCTTCAGCCTAATTAGGCCTCTAGACAATCTGTCTTCCACTGCTGAGGGCCCAATTACTAGATTATACCTCTACAAACACAAGGTAATATATCTTGGTCCTGAGCTTTGTGAGGATGACTTGTATGACATTGTACTTGACCTTGTATGTGACCAATCCTGACCTTGACCATTGTATTTACCATGTTGTTAGGTGCCATATAGGTGATTCCAACTCTTACTGGTGACCACACAACAGAATGAGCCAGGCCCAGTCCTGCGTTATTGTCATAATTGTTGCTTTATTTGCAGACATCTTCCCATGCTTACCTCAGAGAGCATTCTAGCTGCACTTCTTCCAAGGTAGACTTGTTGGTTCTTTGGCAGTCTGTGAGTATGTTCATCATTCTTCACCAACACCATAGTCCAGTGACTTCAGTTCTTTTCTAGTCTTCCTTATTCATTGTCCAACTTCCAAAGTGACATCCTTCACTTTTAGCATTCTAAGATCTTTATAGCATATTTGCCCAGTGTTGCCCATGCTGCTTCCATGGGTATTATTGCTCATGAATACAAATAAAATTAAATATCTGGCAACTTCAGTCTTACCATTTACCTCAAATATTTACTGTACCTCACTCTAATTTTAAGGTTCCCCTTGAACTCCTGTGACCCCTGCTCCTGCTTCTGCTCCTGGTGGTCATACTAAGTATGACTTCTGAAATGAACTGCAGTCTGACTCTCCCGACCTTGAGGTTGACTTTAAACTTTAAAAATGACATTGAACTATCTGACCCTCAGACTCATGACCTAATTTCTCATCAGCCTGATGTATTTTACGGAGATATACTTAAATACCTAAATTGTATACACACGTACACACAATACATTCCTCTAGATTTGGCTTAACTGCGATAAGTATTCATAGGTAAGATTGACCTTTGCACTCCGATGGCCCCTTTTCCTTATTCCTACCTAGAGTTATGCAAAGCATGAGCTGTTGAAAACTTGTCAGTTCTAATTGGTAAGGATTTACTTTGTAGATTTGTTGGGAGTGACAGCAAAATGGACATTAACAAATTTTCTCATGTTTAGGAGGGTAGAAATCTAAATTCAGGGTGCCAGATGTAAAGGGAGCCTTTGCCTTTCTATCATCTCTTTGGTGAAGGTCTTTGTTCCCTTACAGCACCTGTGGGCTCGGTGGTGTTTGGAGATTTCCACATGTCTTTTGTTTTCCATCTTTCCCTGGTTCTAGGAGGTTCACAGCTCAAAGGCCCTGAGTCCAAAGAGCATACTCTACTCTCAGCTCTTCTTTGTTGATGGTGTGTAGGTCTCAAGAAGAATTCTTTTGTGCTTTAATTGTGATTTGAGTGAAAATTCACAAAACACAGATTATTTTCACTCAAGTTTTCCTTTTGTTCTACCTGATGAGCTTAAGATTGTGGCTTGAAATAAATGTGTGTCACTGTTCACATTCATCTCAGTTTGTTATAATGATTAGTGAGAAGTTACTTTTTTGAATACAAAACTTGTATTCAATAGTGTACGTCCATTTTGTTTTATGACGTTAGCTGCAGTCCCCTGGATTTGACAGCAGTCTTCCCACCTCTCTAGGTCCCTTGTTTTCACTCACTTCTTTCTTACCCCTTCCAAACTTTGTTTTGTGGCAACTGCTGCCCTTTTGATCTAATTTGGTTGATTGTTCTGAAGACGGGTATCCACTTTACTGACCTGTTGTCTGAAAAGTTAGTGCCAAGAGTGGGTTCAGTAAAGACTTGCCTAAAAGGCCAGGGCCTTGGGAGCCCTATCAGTCTCTTAACAAGATTGATGTGTCTGATACTTTTTTATTGTTACACATCTTTCTGTTCATAGCCTTTATCGGCCAAGGCAGGCACAGTCTAGTTTTTCTGGTTTAGTGCTTTAACCTGTTTCCTTGAGTCTCTGGTTTTCTTCACTTATCTTTGCTTACATGCTTTTTAAGACCCAATTTCTGATCACCAAAGTAGGGTGTAGAGCATTGTCATAAAGGTTAGTGGTGTGCCAAGATGTTCAAGACACTAGTTATAAGTCCTCAAGGCCAGTGACTCAGTCCTTCAAGGTTGAGGTTAAGAAGTTTGCATGACTTTGCCCCTGTGTGCTTTACTATCTACCTAGATATATTTGCAGCACATACAGATAAGGGGGTGGGGTGGGGGGGACAAAAAACTGGTGAATCTCTATGTGTTCATGGAGAAATGGCATTTCAGACCCGTTCAGCTTATGTACCTACTGTGTATCCACTCCTAAATTATAGTTTGCTTTTACTGTGATTGCAGGATTGTGTATGTAATTGCCAACCTACCCAGAAATTGCCATGAGGAGTCAGAGGTAGATGGACAACCCCCCTCCCATTGTTTCTAGCACATGAGAAGCCTTCTTAGAATGTATAGCCTTGAGGTTGAAAAGCCTTGTATGTATCCAGCTTTCACTTCAGAGACATTGCTTCCATCTCTAGGGCTTGGGAGGTTAAGAGGTACTATGAGGTGAGTTAGGTGGCCTCCTAATCACTAATACAAAGTAGGTGGTTGAAGGAAATAGGGAGTTGCTGGGGGGGGGGGTGGAATGCCTCTGCTGCTAATAGAAATGGTAGTCGGAGTCCATCCAGAGGTGCCTTTGATAGCCCATGGAACACAATTCTGTCCTGACATGTGGAGTCACCATGAGTCAGTGGCAGCCGGGGTTTTTTAAGAGTTTTGAATGGAGGACATGTCCAGAGCCAACGAGTCTCCTCCAGTTAGTTTTATGAGATCCCAGTGGTTTATCTTTTGTGCATTTTTAGTTGACATTGGCAGGCTATAGAAGATAGGACTTTTTGTGTGTGGGAGGGGTATTTTATTATGTATCATTGAATCGAATCCTACTGGCACAGCAGGAGATTGCATTCCTTCTCCAGCAGAGAAGAGTCAACTCAAACTGTGCACCCTTGGGATTGTGGCACAGCTTCTTGCCACTAGGCCACCAGAGAAGAGAGTACTTTTGAGAAGAATGTTTTGGAAGATGCTTATTATAGTAACACATTTTTTAACTTAGTGTGCTCTAAATGCTATTAGGTATGAGTTGAGAGAAGACTATCTGGGACTGAAATTGTTGCACTTAACAAGAATTCTTACCCACATCCCATCTCAGATTCATCCTTAATTCCTCCTACTTCCAATAAGAACTTACCTTTAATATCATCAGTGTTGCATTGTCTATGCTCATTTTTTTAACTTTAAGAGAATGTTTGTGACTGACCTTACTGACCACATTATACAGCTGCTTTCCAGTTGCACTAATTAACTTCATCCTGATACACTCTGCCTCACAGTAAGAACATGATTTAGAGGTGAGTGTGTGACAGATTGCTCACAGTAACAAATCAGGAGTCACACAAGTCAACAGAGCTTAGATCATTGTCATTACAATTATTAAACTACTCATTAGCTCTCAATCAGAAAAAGGGCATGCTGGAGGTAAATGTGTATTTCTGAGTTTACATTAATTATGTTTTACTAATCATGACCCAGACCTCAGCAACACATTCTAAAGACAAGACTGCTCCCAAGATGACCTAGAGCTTTGATCTTTGTCCTGACCCTTCATCCTTTTCTACATCCTGACCCCAAATATCTTCATGAAACCTTGACTCTTATCCTGAACTTGCCACTTCCTGACCTAGAACCTGACTCTTACTCTGATCATCCTCCTAAAGCTGAGCATTTTCCTGACCATGTTAGGGGTATTTTGTTTGTGTTAGGTTATGTTTTAAACTTGGCCATAACTTTGCTCCTGAAATTCATACAGTTGATTTTGATACGTAAGTTATTCCTCATTGCAGATAAGTGATCACTTGACCCATAACACTCTCAGACTTTGAAATGTCCTTTAAATTGACCCTGAATATCATCTAAAATGTAATGACTCAACTATGATTAATCTTGAACTTGCTTTAGACGTGATCTTGAGCTTTCAGTTACTGAAATCTTCCTGGCCCTGATTCCCTTTAATTACATTCATCTTGAACAACAGGTTACACACTTTTGCTTACTCTTGAACTTGACCCTGATTTTGAACCTCCATTGTTGTTAAGTGCTGTTGAGTACGACTCATAGCCACCTTGTGAACAAAAGATCTGAATCATATTATATCTTGTGCCATCCTCACACTTCCTGACACCCCAGAGCTCATTGCTGCAATCATCGTGTTAGTCCACTTGGGCAAGAGTCTTCCTTTCCTTCATTGCCCCTCCACCCTTCCCAACATCATGTCCTTCTTCGAGGAATAGCCCTTTCTAGCAATATGCCCAGAGTATGTGAGGTGAAGCCTCATTATTCTTACTTCCAAAGAGCACTCCAGCT